CCCAGGCTGGAGTGCAGTGGAGAAATCTCTGCTTATTGCAACCTCTGCCTCCCGGGTTCAAGTGATTCTTGTGCCTCAGCCTCCCGAGTAGCTGGGACTACAGGCACACGCCACCGTACCTGGCTAATTAGTTATTGTGGCTCTGTTAATCTCCTCCAACCTGTGACATTTCCTGAATCTTTCTTTTGTCTTTCATAACCTTGACACTTTCAAAGAGTATTGATCAGATATTTAGAATGTCCCTAGTTTTGGTTTGGCTGATATTTTTGTCATGATTATTGGGAAGGGTGCCACATAGCTGATGTACCCTTCTTGGTGTGTGTCAGCAGTACATGATGTCAAGATGTATTATATTGGTCACTTGGTCAAGGTGGTATCTGCCACCTGGCTAATTTTTTGTATTTTTAGTAAAATAAGGGTTCTCCATGTTGGCCAAGCTGGTCTCGAACTCCTGACCTCAGGTGATCTGCCCACCTTAGCCTCCCAAAGTGGTGGGATTACAGGCGTGCACCACCATGCCCAGCCAGAAAAGTAATTTCTATGGAGCCAGAGAGTAAGGAAGGACTCAAAAAACGGGGCAGGGGGATGCCAAAAGGGCATAAGAGCCCACCTGAATTAAGTCCCAATGGCCAAAGTTGGAAGTTGAACAGTAAAAAAAATGATAGCATTGTATTGTAAGCCAAGGAATAAAATAAACCTGAGTCCCTATAGATATAAACAACTGAATAAACAAATAAGTGGCAGAGAGAGGCAACTCCTGTAGAAAAATTCCAGTCCATAAATGTAGAAGGATTGCGAACAGAGAAAATCACCAGGAGAACACCATAGTTAATTGTTGAGCATGACTCTACCAAGACCAGCTCAGTCGTAGAGACCCCAGCTCAGGCGGTGGTGAAGGAATTAAGAAACAGGAACACATACAGTGCAAAAGTGGGATCAGAGTGGAACCATCAGGGGACTGATAGCATTACCCAGCTGAAAGCCCAAAGCAGACTCTGACCCACATATTTATTCTTTGTGAATGAGTGATTATTTCTAATTAGCAGGTACCCAGTGTTTCTTCATAGAATAAAGATAGACTAAACAGGCAGATAGTGGCTGTTCACTACTAAAGTATAAATAAGCTAGACAGCACTCTTTGCGAGTCAGCAATGGGGACAAGGTCATGTATCCTGTGTTTTGGGAGCCGGTTTAACTAGTGCATGCCTGGTACATATTGCCTAATATTCTAGCAGTTTTCTGCCTGGGGATGGCATGGTGTTCTTGCCATTGCCTCTCAGCAAATAACATATACTCCATCATACACACGTCACGACCTGCTCCCAACACGATCCACTGATGGATGCTAACATTAGTGGGCAAAAATGTAAGCAGAAAGAGGATATTTGCAGAGTCTTAAAGTATCTAAGTCTGTATTGTATATAAAAGGAAAAATAGCAACTTTACTGTAGCAAAAGCTGGCAGATACCACCTTGACCAAGTGACCAATATAATACATCTTGACATCATGTACTGCTGACACACACCAAGAAGGGCACATCAGCTATGTGGCACGCTTCCCAATAATCATGACAAAAACATCAGCCAAACCAAAACTGGGGATGTTCTAAATATCTGACCAATACTCTTTGAAAGCGCCAAGGTCATGAAAGACAAAAGAAAGACAGAAAATGTCACAGGTTGGAAGAGATCAACTGAACAACAATAACTAATGTAATATGGCATCCTGGCAAGGACATTAATGGGAAAACTAGGAAAATACAAATACAGACTACAGTTTAATTAATAGCATTGTATTGATATTAACTTAGCTTTGATCATTTTTCTATGGTTATATAAGATGTTAACATAAGGCGAAGCTGAGTGAAGAGTAAATGTGAACTCTTGTATTTGTCACTTCTGTTATCTAAAATTATTGCAAAATTAAAAGGTTAATTTTTAAAATGTGAGCACAGTGGCTTATGCCTATAATCCTAACACTTTGGAAGGCGGAGGCTGGCAGATCACTTGAAGTCAAGAGTTTGAGACCAGCCTGGCCAATATGGTGAAACCCTGTCTCTACTAAAAATACAAAAAATTAGCTGGGTGTGGTGGTACGTGCCTGTAATCCCAGCTATTCAGGAGGCTGAGGCAGGAGAATTGCTTGAACCTGGGAGGCACAGGTTGCAGTGAACCAAGATAGTGCCACTGCACTCCAGCCAGGGCAACAGACAGAGCAAGACTCTGTCTAAAAAAAAAAAAAAAGAAAAGATACCCTTGGCCAGCACAGTGGCTCATGCCTGTAATCCCAACAATTTGGGAGGCCAGGGTAGGCAGATGATTTGTGGTCAGGAGTTTGAGACCAGCCTGGCTAACATGGTGAAACCCCCATCTCTACTAAGAATCAAAAAATTAGCTGGGTGTGGTGGTTCATGCCTGTAATCCTAGCTACTCAGGAGGCTGAGGCAGGAGAATCGCCCGGACCAGGGGGCGGAGGTTACAGTAAACCGAGATTGCTCCACTGCACTCCAGCCTGGGCGACAGAACAAGACTCCATCTCAATTAAAAAAAAAGATACCCTCTAATAATACAGAAATTCTGAAAAATAACTTATAAAAAGAAGTTACAGGTATTACATTTCAGGAATTTTAAAAGATACATACTTTTAAAATTATGGTTCTTAAACATTTTTATTTTTTCCAGAAATGACTATTATGCAAAAAATATTGCTGTCCATCATTCTAAAGAAAATTTCTGATGATATCACTCTCCTGTTCAAATATCTTCAATATCTCCCTTTTGCCTTTTAATTGCATTTGGATCTCTCCCTAAAACTGCCCTGGCCCTGTGGCCTCCCCTTTCGCTGCTTCTCTTCACAGCCTGTACTCCCATCCAGGAATCTGCTGCTTCCTTCATCCTGACCTCCTGGAAATGCCTTTTCCCCAGACCCTATTTGTCCAGAGCCCATGAAAGTTCCCAGTGTGAAGAAACCTTACCTTCCCCTGAATTCCCAGCGCATTTTCCCCAAAGACCCTTCCGCATTTCCCTGCTGCTGTTAGACGCAGGCTGGTGGTGCCTCTGTCCAGTGGCTTAGTTTGAGTATCTACCTCTGGATTTTCTCACTCACCCATTAGTACCTGAGACCAGATGGTGCTGTCCAAGTAGAACACCTGGAACCCTAAACCAGGTCACACAGACTCTCTGATCCCTCTTTCTCCCCTTAATGCTTCCTTATCCTCTGCAATAGTGTGGGCCAGCCACATGCCCTCTGGATCACCAGGACTCATGTCTACCTGATCATCCTAGGAGCCAATCACTCTCCCTGGCCTATTTGCTATTTCTTTAGAAGGACCACATGAGGTTGGGCCACCAGAATGGTGCTGCCACGCTGATTTAGGGTGATTCAAATTGTTTATATGAGCAAGAACTCTGCAAAAATATTTGCCAAGGACCCTCACCTTAGGGTGGCCTTGTCAATTTCTATCATGCATTGCACATGCCTTGAAAGGGTCCTGTCTTATTTATTTATTTATTTGAGATGGAGCCTCACTCTTGCCAGGCTGGAATGCTGTGGCACGACCTCGGCTCACTGCAAGTTATGCCTCTCAGGTTCAAGCCATTCTCCTGCCTCAGCCTCCCGAGGAACTGGGACTACAGATGCGTGCCACCACTCCCTGCTAATTTTTGTATTTTTAGTAGAGATGAGATTTCACCATGTTGGCCAGGATAGTCTCAATCTCTTGACCTCGTGATCCGACCGCCTCGGCCTCCCAAAGTGCTGGGATTATGGGCGTGAGCCACCGCGCCCAGCCACAGGGTCCTGTCTTAATCATGTCTGCATCTCCTCCCCACAGCGGTGCCTGTTTTAGAGTCCATAAATAATAGAGACTCAATAAGTGTTTCTCAGCATGAATGCTTGAAGGAATAAGTAACATCTCAGGCATCCATATTTCTTTTGATTCATGGTTCTAATCATGTTTTCCTTGCACAAATTTCTAGATCTTCCTCATTCTGAGTAACAAGAAAAAGAAAAGGCATTTTCACATCCCCAAGCCCTCCAGTCACTGACCTGACTGTTAATGTCCTGAAAACTTACCAAGAAAGAACAAATGCACCTCCAGATTCTCCTGACACCAAACTGCAAGTGGACTTCAACTCCAAGACAGGTGAGAACGGCCGAGTGTGGGAATGCTGGTTGAACGGTCTCAAGGTAAGCAGCCCCGTAGTTTGGATTGAATGATGCTCTGGCTGCAACAAACTGTAGTGATAGGACATATGTTCGTTGTGTTTTGCTTTTGATCTTCGGCTCCAAGGTTGAGATGCTGTCCCACAGGGAAAAGAAAAAAGGAAGAAGAGCTGGGCAGAAGAAAACTGACTTCACCCATCACTGAAATACTTCGTACCTGAAGCACAGCTATCTTGCAAGAAGAACATGGTGGCAGCTCTTCACAGTCACCTAATTAAGGGGCTTTGGTTGGGTCCTGACTCAGAGGGAAATACACCACCACTCAGAGGCCCCTCCACAGCACCTGAGCACTCACAGCTAAGCCTGGGCTTGGCCCCAGTGGACATATGAGAACAGGTGCCTGCCAGAACCACCCAGAGGGTGGGAGGCCTGCTGTTGCCAGGTCTACCATGTGAATCACAATGACTGCATGAGCTCATGGAATGTTGAAGATGAAATGAAAGTGGCTACTAAGTCACAAAGCCGCAGGTGGGTGGGCATCTTTTCCACAGGGCTCCCAGCAATAGAGCAGTCCCACTCTCCCAGATGAGCTGGAGAAAGAGCCACCTCTCCCAGACAGAGTTGGGGTCAAATTCATGCGCATCCCATACCCACCAAAGCCCACTCTTCCCAGGGCTTGCTGAGAGGGAAGAATAACTGCAGGCTCCCCTAGGGTGTGCCCACGTGAGGGAAGTACACAAAGTTTGAGACAGAGGTGAATGGAGAGGTGTGCTTCTTGGGGAAGCAGTCAAGAGGTGGCAAGAAGTTGAGTTGCCCTCAAGAGGGTCCTGGCACTATGGACGATGACAAATCTCTTCAGCCTGAGACAGAAGGTGAAAGGGCATCCCACCTCTCCACTCAGGCCTATCCCCGCTGCCTCAGTACAACACCTAGAGATCACAGGACCCTGAAGCCCACTTCTTTCCTCACCTGGGACCCTCTAGAAGTGGGATGATGTGTGACATTGACTTAGGTTCAGAGCTCAGCAAACAGGAAGAGTTGGCTGCAGTGCTGTGCTAGAACTAGCTATATTGGCTCTAGCCAGCTTTAATTTTTAAATGGGCTGGTTGATATCATATTTATAGTTTGAAATCAGCCACATTGGGAAGATTTACACCACATGAATTGGCTAACACTATGAATCAGGATGCTTTTGGTGTTGTTTATTGTTGTTTCTTTTCCCGGAGAATCAGTTGTTAAATATTTACCAGCATTCTACTGGTTGAATGGAATTCTAAATTGTTTGACAAGGAAATTAAGACTCAGAAATTCATCACTTTTCTAAGGGCACTCAGCAGTCTGGCAGCCAAGCTGCTGTCTGTCTTCTAACTACCAGGCCACTGCTACCTGCACTGTGTATCCCACAGACCGGCTGGAAGATTAATGTTGGGACCTGGGTCTATGGAGAAGGACTAAGAAAGGCCTACCTGGACTCATTAGGAACCCCACCATCCTAGAATCTGGGTAGTCAAAACTTGGGATCCCTGCCACAGATGCTCATCCCACCCAATCACCCAGTGAGTAGGTTGGCTAAGTTCTGGTAGGTCATCCAGAGTCATGGCATGACTTCTTGAAACTGTTGAGTCCTGCTGATGCCCGAGAATTGGGCTCTGGATTTTATGTGTGGCTTCCAGAAGCCCTTGGCTTTCAGGAGTCTATGGCTGATCACAGGTCAATGGCCCAGAGGTGGGAAAAAAAACCACATCTAGCAAGTGCAGAGGACTGGAGTGAAGGTAGCTTTGCTCCTCTCACCAATGTCTCATCAGATCAGAACTCATGTATTTAATTATAGAAGATCATTTCGACCCAAGGGAGATTTTCAAGCCCCTCCTTCTTCCTGATCACAAAATCAGTGTTAGATTGGAAGGAAGAGAAGCTAAGCCAAATTCTTAGGAATCAAGTTCTCTCTCTCGTTCTCTGGAACTGCTCCTGGCCCATTGGTCCATTTTATTTTCTATTTGACCTAAGTTGCTACCTGCCCTGCCCTGCCCTGCCCTGCCCCTCCCTGTCCTACCCTGCCCCTTATACTCCCTGGCACCATTTGTGCCTGACAATAAGGAAGCCTCTGTATTGGACCCATCCTTTCACCTGAAAGAGTAACAGCAGACCCTGAAACCCACCCAAACATTTAAGAAGGGGAAAGTGTGAGCAAGGAGCCAATCTTCAAGGCAGGCCCCAGACAGGGAAGCGGGCAGAGGCAGCCAGTCTCCATGGAGCAGCAGGAAGTTAATTTCACAAGCCCCTGCAGACCCTGCAGCCGGAGGCACTGCTATTAGGGAAGGGAGGTTTGTAGAGCAGACTTGCCCTGGCAGGGCTTGGCACCTTGAGGACCTGGGACTCTGAGGAAGGGAGTAGAGACGGAAGGGTGGCGGAAGGCTTTATTCCAGGCATTGAGGAGATACATTTTTCTTCCAGATGAGACTCCAACCGAGCCAGCACCACAGAGCAGCGATGAAGCGCTCTACTGTGAGGCTGAAGTCCCGCAGACTGTCAGAAAAGTGAAACCAGACCGGGAGAATTCAGAAACAGACCTGGAAATTGAAGGTGAGCGTGGACATTCGGGGGCAGTCAGGGCAGCCTCTCCTCAGAAGCTGAAGTCGGGTTTTCGGAAGCTGCCATCTCACTCTTTTCCAGAGTCTCCCTGTGGACAGCCTGTGGAGGGCATGTGGCAGAAAGGCTTGTGCTCAATTTTGCCTGGAGTCCCTCTCCAGGCTGGCCAGAGATAGCAGCTGCAGCTTCCCACGCTTGTCACCTGCCTCAAGAGCAGTGCCCTCACGTCGGCTTGTTAAAAGTAAAATCAATATACAAACAGGGTTTTCTGGTCCTCTAAACATTTCCACATGGGGCATCCTATGCGATTTTTTTTCAATAGTCCTAGGAGGTAGGCATCATTGCCCGTTTTCAACAGAAGAGGAACTGGGCCTTAGAGAGATGATAGGCATGGCCCAGGGATAGCGGGATTTTGCCCAGCACGTTGGCTGACCAATCCCATGTCTGACTCACTCTGAGTCCTGCCCTATTCCATACTCCAGGCCCCTGCAGTACTTCTGTGGCACATCTTGCATCCCAATGACTTCCCCACACTCACCTTGGAGCTCTGGTTTCCCCTACTGTTCTTGATAAATCGAAGCATGCCTGGGTATCGGGACTGGCAGAGCTGAAACAAAGACTCTGTGAATGCAAACAACACCTCCACCCTCTCTCTCCTCCCAGTTTCCCCGAGAAGGGAAGCACCAGAAGAGAACACTTGTGAAGCAAGGGGAGAATGACACTGGTTCCATCGGAGGGGCCAGCCTCAAGCTTCCCAGGCCAAGGCTAGCACAGTTGCCCTTCCTCTCCTGTGGCCTTGCAACTTGGCTGGTGGGCAGTGATTGGCAGGCCGAAGAGAAGGAGGAAGGCCCCTTCTGCCAAATTAAACTGTGAAGTTCATCTGCATAGAGTCAGCTTATAAGCCTCCCCACTGTGGTCAACATACAACATACAACTTCACCCCTCTATGCAGACCTCCTCCCCACTGTCCCCCAGGCAGCTTGTTGCTGTTTTACTGGCTTCTTGTCCACTTCAAGCCTGTCGCTAATGTTGCTTCCAACACCCGACTTCATTCACCTGGTTGGAGAAGGTGGCAAAGGACGACACTGGACGTTTGGCCCAAGGGTCCCGATTCTGTCTCACTCCCCCTCCCTCTTCCCTCCAACCACAGCAAGTGCTAACGCTGTTGCAAGCTGCCCATAAAATATAACCACAGGGAACACAGCTAGAAAGGGTCAGCATCAAACCCAGAGGAATTAGTCCCAGGGACGAAACCGGGGGTTACCTCCCCTGCTTTGGCCAGCAGGAACCTCTAATGTCTAAATTTGGCACCAAAAACCCTGTTCTGAACAGAAATGCTGGGCTCTGCAGCTCTGGCTCCTGGTGCCCCTGCAGTGGGTGCTGAGACACTGGGAATAGGCAGGGAGGGCATGGGAAATAGGCCAGCTGGGAGCAGTGTCGGCTGTGAGTCTATCAAAGAGGGAGAGAGGAGCCTGGTTTGCTCACTTGACATGAGCTGTTTTTCTCTACAACAGTGGTTCTCACCTGGAAGCAATTTTGCACCAAGGAGACATTGGGCAAACCAGGGCATGGGGCGTTGCTACTGGCATCTTGTGGGCCCACGCTAGGGATCCTACTGAACACCTTACAACGTACAGGACAGCACTCAGAACAGAATTATCCAACCCAAAATACCTGCAGTGCTGAGGTTGAGAACGCTGCTGAACAAGCATCCCAAAGAGAAGTCTGATTTATAGCTGTGCTTGCAAAATCAGCTTCCCAGTAAAGCAGTTGTTCTTTCACCAACAAAGCTCCCATTGTCAGCCCTAGACTTGTTTGCGGGGGTTGGCCAAAGGCCCTGGGATCCGAAGGAAAAACAGATGCAGACATAGACGCCAGCTGGCCCCAGGAAGCCCTGCCATAGGCTGGACTTGCCTAATGAGGACACAGCTGTGGGGCACCCAGAATCCAGGGAGGTTCAATGCCCAGTAATCCCGGGCCAGCCTGGCCTAAAGCCTAAGAAATAAGGGCCCCCAGGGATTAGAATGGAAAGGTGCAGTCCCTACTTCTGTTAGCTGGTTTTAGCACTCACCAACTGTGTGTTGTTTGAGGCTAGACTTATCATCCATAAAGCAAGGATGACAGTCCTTTTTATAAGGAAAATGGCATCCTAGCCTTTGAAAGAAGATAGACCACTCACTGCAAGCAGGCTTGTTTCTCACTGATTTGGAGGTTTTTCCATATTCACTGGACAGAGTCTCACTCAGTGCTGTTGGGATTTTAAATGTTGGTGCCTCTCTAAGTCTTTGGTGAAGCTTTGTTCATGACTCACAACTTTTAATAGTTGTAGCAAAATTAAAAGTGAAATAGAGACTCCATCAACCATCAGAAGTCATCTGCTTTTTGATCTTTCAGATGTGTCCAAAGGTGGGCAAGAGGGTTTGGACCTTTCTAAGTCTTTGATGACCTGTCATTGGATGTGGCCAACCTGGGCAGGTGGGGTGAAACACACTGCTCACTTCTAGAAAAGCTTCTGGCCTAAAACCATGGGCCTCATCTACCCAAAGAGAGACATTCATCTGGGGCTTCCTGGAGTTAGAGTCTCCCTCTCCCATCATGGACTGACTTCTCAGACTGGAGCTGGCTTCTTAGCACATACCCACAGGGACAGATCCTCCAGCAGAGGCGGGTGTAGACATAAGTGAATGTCACCTGGGGCTAGAGGGGAGAGAAGGCAAAGGTGGAAGAGAAATCCTACTAGAGCCCATCTTTCTCTGCAGATAATGAGAAGCTTTTCACCACTGGACAAAAGGAGCTGTACCTGGAGGCCTGCAAACTGGTGGGTGTAGTGCCCGTCTCATACTTCATCCGGAACATGGAGGAGTCCTACGTGAACCTCAACCACCACGGCCTGGGCCCCAGGGGTACCAAGGCGATTGCTATAGCCCTGGTGGTAAGCATGCTAGCGGCGGCTCATGAAGCCTGGTGGAGGTGGAGGGTTGGCAGGACAGCAGCAGGCCCAAGATTCAGAGGGCCTCTCCTGTGGAGGCTATATAGTGACCTTTATGCCCACACTGCCCTGGGCCCTGCTTGGCTGCCAGATGATTTCCCCAACAGGCATGAACTCCTCTTTAGCTCCTGGTACGAGGCTGCTAGCGACCTAGGCCTTAGAAGTCTATGCTCCCTTCAGAAACTCTGGGGAGAAAAAAATAGAAGTCTATATACTCTTTACTGTTCAGGAAACAAAGGCACCAGCCGCTGGGCCCATGAAAAGTGACTGGGCCCAATTATCAATGTAAGAGCACCAATAAAATACCAGCCTGGGTCTTCATTGTAAAGCTCACCTTTGCTATAAATGGGTTTACTGCTGACCCATTCCATTCAACATCTGCCTTTTACCACATTCTGATTCGTAAAGACCACACTGTAGAGTACATCAAGTTTTCCCATCGAAATAGTATTATCTCTTAGCTTGGCATAACCAAACAAGGAATTGACCTTGAGTTCATCATGACTTTTTATAATTATAATTGCTTTGCACACAAACTGACTCCCATCACAGAAAAACAGAAGACCTAACAACTGCATGTCAGCACAATACTGTTCACTTAGAAAAGTAAACAGAAAACTCCATTATGAAAAAGCTTAGTAAGGTAGAGAAGAGGTAGATGTGTCTTTCGAGGTGACATTTAAAATTAGTAATATTTAAATTATCCATGGAAAGAATGAACAGAGAAAAATAAAGAGGACTTACAAGACCACCAGGTTTATATGGCCGCTGTGCAGTAAGGACCAATATACCGAAACAGCAGAGTTTTCAACAAAGAAAGAGTTTAATGATCACAGAGTGGCCAAGCAAGCACATGAAAGGAACCCTTCCATCCATTTCCCTAAGGAGTTCTGGTCTAGAGTTGTTTGTTTGTTCTGCATGAGACAGGATCAAGTAACCCATCAGGAATGACATCTGACCCCAACAAAATTACATTTCACCCCTACTACACAACTAAAGACATCCTCAGACTAATTTTTCTTCTCCTATGCCTAATGAGCCTAACCTTATTTACACCTGACCTTTTAACTGACCCAGACAATTACACGTTAGCTAACCCCGTCAATACCCCACCCCACATCAAAGAAGAATGGTACTTTCTATTTGCATAGGCAATCTTATGATCTATCCCCAACAAACTAGGAGGCATCCTAGCTCTTATACTCTCTATTCTAAGTGGCATGATCATGGCTAACTGCAGCTTTGATCTCCTGAATTTAAGTGATCCTCCTGCCTCAACCTCTTGGGTATCTAGGACCACAGCTGTTCACCATTGCACCCAGCTAGTTTTTACATTTTTAGTAGAGAAGGAGTCTCACTATGTTGCCCAGGCTAGCCTCAAACTCCTGGGCTCAGGGGATCCACCCACCTCAGCATCCCAAACAGCTGGGATTACAGGCATGAGCCACTGCACCTGGCCTGGCCAACAGTCTTTAAGGGGATCTCAGAGGACAAGGGGCTGAAAAATTGGGGTCATTGATTGGTCAGGACATTGGTCCTGATGAAATCATCAGGACGTAGTAACTGCATGCTTTGATGAGTCGGCTCCTCTGGGGGTCCTTCAGACCAGCTGATGTCAGTAGTTTTACCAGCCTCTCAGATGGAAAACTTAACACTTCACAATGCTTGCGATGTTATCTGTAGAACAGTGAAAAGGAACTATGATCTTATGATTCTGGGACAACAAGCAGCAAACAACTCTGAGGAAGGGGCCAGAGAGCAGCTGACCTCATGATCAATGCTGCAAGCTGGGCTTATTTCCGTCTCTCCCCTACCTTCTTCCCTGGTCAATTTTATAAAGTTTATGGGGACAGTTTTAAGGCTGAGAAAGAATTCTTTAAAAATATTATTTATAAAGGATCTGAAAGAAGAAAAGTAGTCAATGAATTAAATAGAGAATGAGTGACTGAGAGACAGGAGAAGCTACAGAATGACAGTGTATTTCAAGGCTTTTTGGAGCTCGCCATGTATTTCATAACCGAATAAATATGGAAGCACAGAATTGCCTTCCTCATTCATCATTCTCTCGGATGTCTCCATCATTGAGCATGGCCGAGTCAGTCTTCCTGCAGTTTGTCTTTGGCTGTCTCTACCATTCTGTACCTTCCTTCCCATCCCCAGAAAGCAGTGCAATATCACATTTCATGTAACTTCTTAAAGGGCATATGCTAAACGCAAATGCTGTTATATTTTTAAGAAAGAATGAGTGTGTTGGTGGGCGAGGAAAAATTCTCCTGCCTCAGCCTCCCAAGTAGCTGGGATTACAGGCATGCACCACCACACCTGGCTAATTGTTTGTATTTTTAGTAGAGATGGGGTTTCACTACGTTGGCTAGGCTGGTCTCAAACTCCTGGCCTCAAGAGATTCTCCCGCCTTGGCTTCCCAAAGTGCTGGGATTACAGGTGTGAGCCCCCCAGTTCAAGGGATTCTCCTGCCTCAGCCTCCCAAGGAGCTGGGATTACCGGCACGTGCCACCACATCCAGCTAATTTTTTGTTTTGTTAGTAGAGGCATGATTTTACTATGTTGGTGAGGCTGGTCTTGAACTCCTGGCCTCAAGTGATCCCCCTGCCTTGGCCTCCTGAAGTGCTGGGATTACAGGCATGAGCCACTATGCCTGGGCAACATAACTTTTATGATAGCATATTATCATAGGTGTTCTATTTTATTATTAGTTATTGTTGACCTCTTATTGTGCCTAATTTATAAATCAAAATTATCATAGGGAAGTATGTATAGGACCAAAACCTAGTATATTTTGGGTTTGGTACTATCTTTGGTATTAGACATTGACCAATGGTCTTGATGTTTTCCCCCAAGGATAAGGGTAGACGACCGTAATCATTGTTAGAATGTAAGAGGGATACGCTTGCGTGCTGTTCATTTTGAGTGCCTAGCCCCCTGTTGGCATTGAACAGTGTATTCCTAGAATACATGGTCTTATTTTTCCTCACCTTCCCCAACACACTCATTCTTTCTTAAAAATATAACAACATTTGCATTTGGCATATGCCCTTTAAGAAGTTACATGAAATGTGAGCTTGCACTGTTTTCTGAGGATGGGAAGGAAGGAGTGGGGAAAGAACAAAGCCATCTTGAGATTTATTGAAAGTGGAAAGGCTGACTAATGATGTGTTAGGAACGCACCATTACCTCATGAGCTTCGTGGGAAAAACATGGATGATAATGAAATCCTCTCAGGACTTGGACCACTTGTTTCTTAGTAACAGCAATTTCTGTTTGTGGAGAGTTTCTTCTTCCTTCATTCTCTGCATCATTCATTTGACAATTAATCATTGTGACATTCTGGGGGACTGAACTTCTATTTGCTCTCTGTACTGATTAGCTTTTCACATGCCTGTGTTTCCCTGGCTTAGATTAGGAGCACTCTGATAGCAGGTTTCGTGTTTGTTTCATCCTTGCCTGTATCCCTCGACCACCTAGCACTGTACCCTTGCACTTGGGGGCAGCAGGTGGGGTGGGAGTAGAAATGTTCTCTGTTAATTCTTGTTTCCCCAGCAGTGAACACAGAGAATGACAAATAGACACCGGCCCGTGTGGAATAAATGTGGATGGAATTGGGGACTGGGCCTCCTGTTTCACCCTAGAATGTGCTGGTCCCCAATATGACTCTGGCAGTGATGATTCAACTGATGTTTCTAGACACTGCTAAACAGCACTCAGACTGGGAGGCCCCCTGAGCCATCTCTCTCACCTTTGAGTACAACTCAAGGCAATTGAATTTTGCCCAACCCAGAGAGCTGAGACCAGAAAACATTCCAGGAAGCCCCGGGGTGAATCATCCTGCATTGCCATAGCTGGGACTATCACACTTTCCTTTATCAGAGGAGAGGGTTGGGGAGGACCAGCATTAACACTCCTTCCACTTGCTACTTCTCTTGCTCCTTACTGGGCCTTGAAAATGCTCAAATCCAAACCTGTGTCTGTTCTCTGTCCCTGTGTATACTGGGAACAAGGTGGGGAAGGCAAGATCAAAGTTCTGATTAGAGCTTAACCCCAGTCCTTCGTGCTCCAATGCGAGTCCTTTCCTCTCCTCTTGTTCCCTGTAGAAATGCAGACTAGCGGCTGGGCACGGTGGCTCACGCCTATAATCCCAGCACTTTGGGGGGGCAAGGCAAGCGGATCACCAGCCTGGCAAACATGGCAAAATCCTGTCTCTACTAAAAAGAATACAAAAATTAGTAGGGCATGGTCGTGGGTGCCTGTTAAGCCCAGCTACTTGGGAGGCTGAGGCAGGGAGGATTGCTTGAACCCAGGAAGCAGAGGTTGCCGTGAGCCAAGATTGTGCCACTGCACTCCAACCTGGGTGACAGAGCAAGACTCCATCTCAAAAAAAAAAAAAAAATGCAGACTATCTTGGCTCTAGATATTCACCAAAATTTGTGTCCAATTCCTTCCAAACAGCCTTGAGTCCACCTCCTATTAAAGACAGTACCAGAGCCAGGTGTGGTTGCTCACACCTGTAATCCCAGCTACCCGGGAGGCTAAGGCAGGAGAGCCCTTGAGCCCAGGAGTTGGAGATCAGCCTGGGCAACATAGACCCCATCTCAAAAAACAATAATAAAGAAATAAAGAAAAATTTAAAGGAGTGTACCAGATAAGACTTAAGCCTAAATTAGAAGAAAGGCCTTAAGAAAGCAAAATCAATGCTTTAAAGGACCTCCTGGCAAGAATCTTTATGTTTAAATATCCTTATTCAATGTATCAAGTTTTCCTTAATCTTAGAGTAGGTCACAGTCATCTCTCCTTGGGGCTTAGTTAAAATCTGTTTAGCTCATCCTTGTGCCTCTGACTTGTCAGGGTTTTCATTTGCTTTCAGGATCCTTTTCTAAATTCTCCCAGAGTAAGCGTATTGTCCTAGCAAAACTCCCCGGCTGGCTCGGCCCCTGTGCTGGTCTCCTCGCCCTTGCCACGCCCTCGGAATTCCTAGTCTGCATCTCCGCACCCACTTACCTGGCTGGCCCAAGGCGAGCAGGGAACGGACTTGGTCACCAACCCCTTCTGTGTCTCTCCCCCTCCCTCTGTGCTGGCTGAAGTCCAACACGACTGTTACCAAACTGGAGCTGGAAGATAACGGCATCACGGAGGAGGGCATCTTGAGCCTGGTGGAGATGCTACAAGAGAACTACTACCTCCAGGAGATGGTACCGTGCCCCCCTGCGCTGGCTCCTGCCATCACCCCTGGGGGCTCACAACCCACTGGGGACAAGCCAGAGGCCCTGCCAGGACCCAGGCTGCCTCCAGGCCCCTGCCCTCCTTACATGACTTGTTGGAGGAGGGCCACATGTGAGAGGCTGTGTTTCCTACAGCTGTAGAAAATCCTAAGAAACTATTTCTGGCTGGGCATGGTAGCTCACGCCTGTAATCCTAGCACTTTGGGAGGCCGAGGAGGGTGGATCACCTGAAGTCAGGAGTTTGCGATCAGCCTGGCCAACATGGCCAAACCCTGTCACTACTAAAAGTACAAAAGTTAGCCGGGCGTGGTGGTGTGCAACTGTAATCCCAGCTACTCAGGAGACTGAGGCAGGAGAATTGCTTGAACACAGGAGGCAGAGGCTGCAGTGAGCCAAGATTGCACCACTGCACTCCAGCCTGGACAACAAGAGCAAGATTCAAAAAAAAAAGTATTTCTGTCTGGACCTTAGAAGCCCTTAAATTGATAAATGTGGCCAGGCATGGTGGCTCACGCCTGTAATGGCTCACTAGAAATATAAAAAATTAGCTATGCATGGTGTTGAGCACCTGTGATCCCAGCTACTTGGGAGGCGGAGGCAGGAGAAACACTTGAACCCTGTAGGATGGAGGTTGCCATGAGCTGAGATCACGCCACTGTACTCCAGCCTGGGTGACAGAGTGAGACTCTGTCTCAAAAAAAAAAAAAAAAAAAAAAAAAAAAAAAAAAAAAAAAAAAAAAAAAAAAAAAAAAAAAAAAAGATAAATGTACCTCTTCGTAGTTGCTTTAAAGTGAACTTCCTTAAAGAAAATAAAGACATGAAATAATTTCATAAAGACAATGTGCCTTGCGATGGCTGATGGTGATGAGTGCACGATGTGAATGTGCTGATGCCGCAGCACTGGACACTGAGAAACGGCAATGATGGTAAATCGTATGTTATGTGTAGTTTACCATCATAAAAGGATATCCAAAGGAAAGGGGGAAACAACCAATTAAGACAATAATGGCCACTATATAAAGTCGCTCCCACTAGCTTAAAAGGACAAGCCATACTTCCCAAATCAAGGAGTGGAATTTACAATGATTATGCACTCTAAACGCATTTTTCACCGTTTCACTGCCAAGCTCTCTACATGAAGCTGTTTGGGGTTTCCATACAAAGAAAAAATAATAATGTGCTTATCTGAAGCACCAGGGCTAAACTGGGAAAGTGGGGAGTCCTTGAAGCCAGCTTCAAAAAGCTGAGACCAGCCATCTCACGGGTCCCACAGTGAGGCACTGGGAAAGCCGGGGCTAGAGCCTGGTTTCCTGTCGCCCTTCTCTTGGTCCTTGGCACCACCCGAATCCTTCTAATCCTTTCCCACCCCAACCCTACTCCCTCGACACAGGACTCAAGTAAACCACAAAAGACATCATTTGTTCCTGAGGGCCCTTTGGTGAGGTTTTTTACATACCGAAGTGTTTTCTTGCCTTTTAGAATATTTCCAACAATCAGCTTGGTTTGGAGGGGGCCAGAATCATCTCAGATTTCCTTGAGACAAATACTTCTTCCGTCTGGAGCCTTGAGCTTTCAGGTGAGCACGTGGAAAGGGAGGGAGAGGATACTGGGACTCAGAGGGAGGGAAGAGGGGAAAACAGAGAATTCAACTTCTGGCTAACCAGACCATGTCTTTCTAGTCTTGGAGACCAAAGACTGCATCTATGCCTGCTAAACCCTCCCAGTCACACTCCCCTAACCCCTTCCACCATATCTGATGATTCAGATGATATATACACAATAATTTATCATATACTTTACCATGCAAACTGAATAGGGGCACTATTAATTAACTGGAACCACAAGCAAATTGAGATACCTTGCACCCAATTATAAACTATGTTTAATATGATTAAGAACATAAATAAAATCATAAAAGAACAAATCACTTTTTTAAAAGAAAAAAAAAAGACCTCTCCTCCTTCCCTCACCAAGAGTTTTTTTTTTTTTTTTTTTTTTTTTGAGACGGANTTTTTTTTTTTTTGAGACGGAGTTTCGCTCTTGTTACCCAGGCTGGAGTGCAATGGCACGATCTCGGCTCACCACAACCTCCACCTCCTGGGTTCACGCAATTCTCCTGCCTCAACCTCCTGAGTAGCTGGCATTACAGGCACATGCCACCATGCCCAGGTAATGTTTTGTATTTTTAGTAGAGACGGGGTTTCACCATGTTGACCAGGATGGTCTTGATCTCTTGACCTCGTGATCCACCTGCCTCGGCCTCCCAAAGTGCTGGGATTACAGGCTTGAGCCACCGCGCCCGGCACCAAGAGTTTCTTACAACAAAAAAATGTATAGTCACTGATATTAAAGCCTCAACAAATAAATTCAATGGCACATTAATTACAGGTGAATAGAATTAGTGGAAAACGTATTTTATCTATCTTTACAGCATAGAAAGACAAAGACATAGAGAATATAAAAGACAAAAGAATATAAAAGAATGAGTAGAATGAGTAGTTTCCAGAAGGAAAAGAAATGAATGAGCAGCAATATTTGAACAAATAACAGCTAACGTGTTCCCTGAATTGATAAATTTGCAGATACAGGAATCCTAGTAACTCCTAAGAAAGGTATATAAAAAGGAATCTATACTTGAGCATATCTCTGAAAAACACTTAAGATACAGAGATCTGTAAAGTGTCTAGAAAAAAATACAGAAATAAAGTTTGTGTATTTTCTTTATAGAGATGGGGTCTTGCTATGTTGCCCAGGCTAGTCTCACACTCTTGGGCTCCAGCAATCCTCCCGCCTCAGCCTCCCAAAGTGCTGGGATTATAGGCATAAGCCATGGTGCCTGGCCTTAGTTCATGTATTTTTAACATAAATATTGTTACATGTCAGGTATTATTCTCCAATTTCCCTTGTTTCCTGCTAAATATATCTTGGATTTCTTTCTATGGCAGAACAAATAGATTTATCTAGTTCCCTTGAACGGCTGGCTAGTATTCTGAGTCATGGACATAATATAGTTTATTTAACACCCCACTATTTGGGGGAAAGAGGATTAATTTCATTTCCAATTTTGCTTTCAAGTAATGTTTTTTGTTTGTTTTTATTTTGTTTTCTTTTGTTTGAGATGGAGTATTGCTCTGTAGCCCAGGCTGGAGTGCAGTTGTGCAATCTCGGTTCACTGCAACCTCTGCCTCCCGGGTTCAAGCGATTCTCCTGCCTCAGCCTCCTGAGGAGCTGGGATTACAGGCATGCACCACCATGCCCAACTAATTTTTTTGTATTTTTAGTAGATATGGGGTTCCTCCATATTGGTCAGGCTGGTAACAAACTCCTAACCTCAGGTGATCCACCTGCCTCAGCCTCCCAAAGTACTGGGATTATGGGTGTCAGCCACTGTGCCTGGCCTTGCTTTGTTTATGGTACTTTCTTGTGTCAAAGTTTGTGTCTTTTATTGATGTCAAGTTTTATAGTCTTTTCACTTTATGGATTTAATTTTTGCAGCCTTGCTTTAAAACTCTTTCCTAAAGTTTATAAAAATATTTTCCTGAACCAGGAAGGGCGGCATGCACTGATAGTCCCATCTACTCAGGAGGCTGGGTGGGAAAATTGCTTGAGCCCAGGACTGGCCCCCTGGGCAACACAGTGAGACCCCATCTGTAAAAAAGAAAAAGAAAAAAAAAGTTAGGTCAAAATATTTTCCTTTATTTTCTTCCATTTTTTTTTAACTCTTAGGTCTCTAATATATCTAATACTTTTTTGTACCTGGCATGAGGTAGACATCAAATGTTTTATTTCCAAAACTGATAGCCAGGTGCTTCAGCATCATCAATGGAATAATTCATCCTTTTCTGACTAATTTGAAATGTCATCTTTATCATGTATTAAACTCCCATTATAAATATAGGTTTCCTTCCAGATTCTCTTTCATTAATCTATTTATATATTTCTATGTCAATATTGCATTGTTTTAATATTTGTTTACAATATTAAAATTATTATTACTACATAAGATGTTGTGACTAATACAAAAACTGATTATGTACAAGTTAATATATGTTATAAAATCTTATAATAAATATTTTTGTTTGTTTGTTTGTTTTTGAGACGGAATCTCCCTCTGTTGCCCAGCCTGGAATGCAGCGCCACCATCTCAGCTCATTACAATCTCTGCCTCCTGGATTCAAGCGATTCTCCTGCCTTAGCTTCCCAAATAGCTGGGATTGCAGGTGCCCACTGCCATGCCCAGCTAATTTTTGTATTTTTAGTAGAAACAGGGTTTCATCATGTTAGCCAGGCTGGTCTTGACCTCCTGACCTCAAGTGATCCACCTGCCTCGGCCTCCCAAAGTGCTGGGATTACAGGCATGAGCCACTGCGCCCAGCCAATAAGTATGTTTTGTATGTGAATGGGCAAAGACTACCCCTTTTTTTCCAAAGTAATCTTGAATCTTTTTTTGCAAAGTGATTCTGCAATTTTGGCTATTAGTGTTGTTAGTAATCGTGGCTATGCTTGTACAGTTTCTCCCCCAGGTGAACTTTAGAATCATTCTTTCAAGTTCTATTTAAGAAAAAGAAAAAAAGATAAAACAGCTGTTGGGGTTTTGGTTGGGGTTTTCCATTTACTATTCTAGGTTAATTTATGAAAGAACCGACATAGTCACAATATTGAGTCTCCTCATTTATGAACATGGTTTATCTCTATTCCTCCAGGCCTTTTTATGTTCTTGAGTAAAGTCTTATTTTCTTCTATTATAAGCCTTGCATTATTCATATTAGGTTTATTTCTAGGTCTTCCATTATTTTATCTTATGTGAACAGAATGTTTTTCTATCATATTTTCTAATGGGTTATTACTGATATGTCTGAAAGCTATTAATTTTTGTCCATTGATTCTGTATCCACTTACCTTATTAAATTATCTTATGAGTTCTAACATTTTGTTAGTTTTATAGAATTATTTAGATAGGTGATCATATCTGCAAATAATGAAAGTTTTATCTCTTCTTTTCCGATATTTATAGCTCCTAGTTATTTTTCTGGTTGTATTGGCTAAGACCCCTAACATAATGTGTTAACATAGTACAGAAAGCTCTTTGTAAAAATACAAATCCCCCAGTCCTATCCCAGCCTGCTGAAATCAGACTCTTTAGCAGGAGAAATCTGGGAATCTGTATTTTATCAAATTTCACAAATAATTATCTTACAATCAGCTCTGTAGAGACAGGCGCTCCCTATGTTGCCCAGGCTGGTTGTAAACTCCTGGGCTCAAGCGATCCTCCCACCTCGGCCTCCCAAAGTGCTGTGATCACAGGCATGAGCCATTGCGTCTGGCCCCTGCCACCTTTTCCATGTCTGATTGTTCTAAACGGAAGTGGACTGGGAGGGGCAGGGGGTGGGAGAGGAGGGGAGTCATGGTCTAGCAGTGCACTGCTGACACACCACCCTCACTACAGGAAATGACTTCGAAGAAGAATCTGCAGCACTGCTCTGCCAAGTCCTGTCGGTAAGAGGCAGGGAGTGCAGCCAAGCCACGTGGGTGATGTCCCTGGGAGATCTGGGCAACCTGGGGCTGCTATGGGCACAGTGACGTGAGGCTACTTGCACATGTTAGGGACAAGGGAGTGTTTAGACCCTGCCAACCCCAGGAAAAGCCACAGCAAACAGTAGAGTTGTTTATATGGCACTAAGTTCTCCCAGCAAACATCAACAGCCAAACGAAAAATGCCTAAGACATTGTCTTCACCTAATTTTCTGTACATTGGCGCCCCCATCATACTGTCCTCCAATAAGTAAGATATTTGCAATCAGAAGACAAAAAATCCTTCTCTTTCCCCTGTTTGTTTCTGTAGAGCAATTACCGAATTAAGAAGCTGGATCTCAGCCACAATCAATTCTCTGATGTAGGAGGGGAGCACCTGGGACAGATGCTGGGTAAGTCTCCCTGGAGGGAAGGGACAGCAATTGGGAGGGATGGGGGAGGATTACTGCTTGGCAGAGCTGAATCTCCCTTTTTAACATTATTTTTCAATATTGTGAGTATAAAAGTGATGTAAACCATGTCCAGAATACATTCAGAATCAGCTGGGTGCAGTGGCTCATACCGGTAATGCCAGAACTTTGGGAACCTAAGGCAGGAGGATCACTTGAGACCAGGAGTTCAAGACCAACCTGAGCAACATAGGGAGACCCCTGTCTCTATAAAATATCAAACAATTAGCCAGGTGTGGTGATGGGCACCTGTAGTTCCAGCTACTCAGGGGGCTGAGGCAGGAGGATCACTTGAACCTGGGAAACGGAGGTTGCAGTGAGCTGAGATCACACCACTGCACTCTAGCCTGGCAACAGAGAGAGATTCCGTCTCAAAAAAAAAAAGGAAGTTGAGGCTGCAGTGAAACATGATCTTGTCCCTACACTCCACAACAGAGAGAGACTCTGTCTCAGATGAAGAAGAGGGCCAGGCACGGTGGCTCACACCTGTAATCCCAGCCCTTGCAGGTGGATTGCAAGGTCAAGAGATCAAGACCATCCTGGCCAACATGGTGAAACCCCATCTCTACTAAGAATACAAAAAAAAAACTTGGTTTGGTGCGGTGGTGCATACCTGTAGTCCCAGCTACTCTGGAGGCTGAGGCAGAAGTATCGCTTGAACCTGGGAGGCGGAGGTTGCAGTGAGCCGAGATCGCACCACTGCACTCCAGCCTGGCAACAGAGAGAGACTCCATCTCAAAAAAGAAAAAAAGAAGAAGAGGAGGAGGAGGAGGAAGAGAGAAGGAGTAGCAGCAAACACCTGGTCATGGGAAGTAAAATTTTATGATGATTAGAAGAACACAGAGTGAAACAACTAACAACTTGCTGATCTCAGGAAGGCTAAGGACTGTTAAGTATGGCCCAGTAAGCACAAACAATCCAAAAGCAATTGAAAAGTACCTTTTGGGTACTATGCTTATTACCTGGGTGATGAAATCCTCAGTACACCAAACCCCTGCGACATGCAACTTACTTATACAACAAACCAGCACATGGACGCCTGAATCTAAAAGTTTTAAAAATTCCTGTACTTGACAACAATACATTTGAAACATGCATATGATAAAAAGCCACACAACTGTGAACAACCCTAAAAAACAATCAACAGACAGGGAGTAGATATTTGCAGCATTTGTAGAGTAAAACATCAGTATTCAGAATGTTGATAAAAGAGCCTTGGCTCAATTAGACAATGATAAGTAGCCTCAATAGAGCAATCGTTAGGGCTCATGCATAGCAAAAGAAGAAAGCAGTGCTCACGTCTCTCCACTAATTAGAGAAATGAAAGGTTCTCCTTGTCATCTACTAAAGCTGTGAAAGTTTAAAGCCAGTGAATGTCAAAGGCTGTGGACAATAGAGTGAAATAAGAATAATTCCAAGCTGCCAGGCACTTTTGAGAACAAATTGACAGTCCTTGGTAAATTGGAATATGTGTGTATTCTATGATGCAGAAATTCCTTCCCGTCAAGGGGAGTTGTCTCAGAGAAGCTCTCATACATACACAGAGATGTGTGAGGAGGTTATTACAGCATTATCATAAGAGAGAAAAAAAAAGTAACAACCTAAATGGTCATCCCCGAGCAAATGAGTAGAAAAAAGGAAGTTGTCGCCGGAGTCTAGGCAAGACGGGAAACTAGCTTGAGCTCAGGGAGGAGGTAGGATAGAGAAGAGTGGATGAATTCAGAATATACTTTGGGGGTAAAGCCAAAAGGACTTGTTGATGTGGAGAATGGGGGAAAGAGGAGAGAGAGAGAGACTCATGGTCTTTTTGCTTCAGCCATTGGTTGGATGATGGTGTTGTTTATAAGAATGGAGAAAACTCAGGGAGCAGCAGGGGCAGGAGAGAGGAGGCCAGTTTTCCATTTCAGCCACGTAATATCTGCAATGGCCATTTGATGCCTACATAGAGAAGTCAGGCAGATGGTTTGCTGTATGAGTTTAGAGCTTGGTGAAGAGATCAGGGCTGAAGATACACATTTGGGGGTCATAGGTATATAGACGTATTTAAAACCATGAGGCAAGATGAGGTTATCTAGGCAAGGAGTGTACACAGAGTTGAGTAGGTGACCATGGAACTGACCTTTGAGTCATGCCAACACTTTAAGGCTTCACAGAGGAGGAAGAGGAGCCAGAGAAGGAGTGGTCAAACAGGAGGAAAACCAGAAAAGCAAGGTGGCAAGGAGCCCAGGAAGGGAATGGTTCAGGAAGAAGGTTGGCAGTTGCATCAAATGCTGCTGAGAGGTCAAATAAGACGAGGATAAAATAGTGGCCATGGCAATTGGCAGCATGGAAAGAGTTAGTGGCCTCGAAGGTGCTTTTTTTTTTTTTTTTT